ATGGCTTGCTTCCAGAAGTTCTGGGTACTCCATCAATGGAGATTTTAAAGAAGAGATTGGACAGCCATTTGTTTTATTTTTTAAAAAATATACTTTATTGATTTTACAATTAAAATAGACCAACAACACATACATAAATGCAAGAGAGAAAAAGAAGACAAGAGAAAAAAAATTGAAAGAAAAAGATAAAAAACAGTTAAAAACATTTTCATCTTCAACAGTTTGTGAGACCTCCTTTTTATCCTTATTTTATACCATATACACAATTAAGTCTTACATATATCTGTATATCACTACTATGGTTCTATCATATCTTCCTTTGCCTTTTATTATGAAACCTATCTTTGATCTATCCATTTGTACCAGCAGTTCCAGCTGTCATAATATATTGAAGTGTCTTTATCTTTTAATGCCAAGGTTAATTTGTCCATTTCTGCACAATTTGAAATTTTTTGGATAATCATCTCCTCTGATGGAACATGAGGCTGTTTCCAACATTGTGCAAAAGCCAATCTGGCCACTGTCAAAATATGTATTTTTATATATTTCACTTTTTTTGGTAGTTCTTTATCAAAGATCCCTAATAGAAAGGACTCTGGTTTAAATTCGATCTGTTCTCTTATCATTTCCTCCAACCAATTTCTAATTTTCTGCCAATATTTTTGAGCTTCTGTACAAGACTACCACAAATGGAAGGAAGTTCCCTCTTTTTTTTTTTTTTTTTGCATTTCCAGCAGTTTGGACTCATATTGGGGTGCATCTTCACTAATCTAGGAGGAAGGTGCCACCTGTAAAACACTTTATAGGCATTTTCTTTGTACGCTACTGATTTTGTGATTTTATTATTTCTACCTCAGACCTTTTCCCATTTTGTTAAGGTGACACTACGCTCTATATTCCTACTCCAGGCTATCATGTTCCCTTTATCAATTTCTTCCTCTAATTCTACCTCTAATAAATAATTATAAAATTTTGTTATTTTTTTTTGCCTGATCCTAATAAAATTTTATCTAATTGCTGGAGTTTATTATTAATTCCAAATTCTTTCTTGTCCTGTTTGTATCTACTTTGAATTTGAAGATATACCTACTTGTTGTGGCTCCGATTCCCGAGCCTATGCTGTTAGAGGAAGAGGACTGGGAAAATGAGGAGGAGGAACAGGGAATATCTTCCTCCCCAGGACCTTCCTCTCTGGCAATGCCTTCCTCCCTGATAATGCCTCAGGTTTCATCAGACAACCGAGAGGAACAGCCTGAGATTAATCAGGAGGAAGGCATATCGGAGCACCCCCTGACAGGGAGTCAAGAGGAAGAATGTTGGCTTGATCCTAGGCAGCGTCGTAGGGAGAAATGTCAGCAGCAATGTAGGAGGCGTGGGAGGGTCAGAGAGTGAGCTGAGTCATTGAGCCACACTCCACAGGGGATAAAAGTGGGTGTGTTGTCAGCTGGAACTTTGTATGGGACAAAGTTTGATCTTACTTCAGGTTTTCTTTGTGAATGATTTTTGTGGTCTGCCTTGTAATTTTCTATAAGTAGATTTTTACTTGTTATCAGTTTGGACTTGGCAGGCAGAGCGTGTTGGAATGCCAAGGACGTTATCGGTTCCAAAGAATTAACTCTGTGAAGTCCGAGCCAGCCTGCCTGCCTGTGTTTGTGTGAGTTTGTACTCTTTTATCTTTTGGAAAGAAGAAAGGTGAGACAGAACATTTTTGTCCTGTACCAGACTTTACCTAAGATGGACCAGCAGCAGCAGTTTCAACAGCAGCTGCAAGATGAAAATCAAACTCTACAACAGCAAGTGGCTCAATTAACAGCCCAACTTGCTTTGCTGCAGGCTCATGCAGCTCCTCCTCCTCCCCCTCCCTGTCGGAAATGCCATGTGGCTGTGCCAGATAAGTTTTCTGGGCAGCCTGAGATGTTCCCGGCTTTCATGGGACAGTGCCAGTCATTTATTGCTATGAGGCCAGAGGATTTCCCAGATGACCAGGCTTGGGTAGGGTTTGTGATAAGCCTCCTTTCTGGCTCAGCCGCCAGATGGGCCACACCTTTGTTGCTCAAGAACAGCCCATTATTAAGTGATTACCAGGGTTTTTGGCAACACATGCGACACATGTATGAAGACCCCAGTGCAGACGGCAGCCAGGTGTCTTAAGGATCTTCGACAAGGGAAGCGCCCCTTGTAAGAATTTATTTCTGAATTTTGGCTTTTATGCCTGGACTCCAACTGGAATGACGCAGCGTTAATGGACGCCTTCCAAGATGGCCTGTCAGATGAGCTGCAGGACGAGTTAGTTCGAGTGGAACTGGCCCCGACCCTCAACGGTCTGGTGGTGCAATGCTTGCGCATTGACGCACGTCTCCAATGGCAAAAGAACCGTCGCACCATCCAGGAGCAGCCATCCGCATCTGTACCGCAGCGCTCTGTGCTAACAGCGCCCCGGGTCACCCAATGTGTCGTGGACATGGCCAAGGAACCAATGGAGTTAGGAGTGGTCAGACCTCACCTGCCGGCTCAGGAGCAAATGCAGAGACGCCAGGGGGGGCGTTGTACTTGTTATGGGTGGGGGGGGGGGGGCAGGACATTTCGCTATTTCTTGTCCTCTAAAGCGAAGTGGGGCACTCAAGCCTGTGTCTGAATCTCGGCGTGATCAGTCGGGAAACAAGGCAGGCCCAACCTGGGGGGAAACCCTAGGCTGGGCACCTATCAAACACCCGCCCGAATTAGCGGAGGTTGATTCTGGGCCCCCTCGGCATCTGATTTTGGACACTTGGGTTTTCTTGGCTAACTAGTTGAAAGGGATTCCAGCGAATGCGCTGGTGGACTCAGGGGCCATGACTAACTTTATGGACCGGGCCTTTGTGGCCCATTTTGATGTCCCCTTGGTTCCGACAGAACCTCCGATGAGGGTAGAGACTATTGATGGGCGGGAACTTATTGCAGGACCCCCTTCCTCCATGGACGGTGCTGCCAGCAGAATCCTTGGCTTCAGTCCAGGAACCGGTGGACTTGCGGACTCAGGTGCGAGAGGCGCAGTGCCTAGACGCTTGGTCGCAGCAGAGGATGGGGGAGATTGGACTCGAATACCCATGGACTTTGGAGGAGGGCTTACTCAAGCATCGGGGCTGGTTGTACATACCCATGGGGCCGCTTCGAGCCCTTATTATGACTCAGTGTCACGACAACCCTGCAGCCAGCCATTTTGGGTTTTTTAAGACCCTCCATCTTGTAACACGGACTTTTTGGTGGCCTCGAGTATGGCATGATGTCCACGCCTATGTCACATCTTGTGTACCATGTAGGCAAGCGAAAGCCATGACGGGTGTGCCTCCTGGTCTCCTCCAACCTCTGCCGACTCCAGAAAGACCATGGGGAGTGATTTCCATGGACTTGTTGACTCATTTACCATCATCCTCAGGATTTAAGACTGTGCTTGTGGCGGTCAACATGTTGACAAAAGTGGCCCACTTCATTCCGTGTCATAAATTGCCATCGGCCCGGACAACTGCCTGTTTGTTCTTGCAGCATGTTTTTCGTCTCCATGGTCTGCCAGACAGGGTAGTTTCTGACCGCGGTGTACAATTTACAGCCCAATTTTGGAAAAGCCTGATGACCGTGTTACAGGTGCAGGTGTGCTTGTCGGCACACCATCGAGAAACTGATGGTGGGACAGAGAAGGTCACTGGCATTCTCGAGCAATATTTCCATTGTTTTGTAAACCAACAGCAGAACAACTGGGTTGATTATCTCTCTCTGGCGGAGTTTGCATTCAACAACTCCCAGCACACCTCCACCCAAATGACACCATTTTATGCTAATGTGGGGTACCATCCGTGGTTCTTTCCATTGACTCTATTAGATTCCCCTGTTACTGAGACTCAGGAATTCCTTTTGGAACTACACTCGGTTCAGCAGTTAGTTCGGCAGCAACTGATACGGGCCAAGGAAGATTACAAGCGGTTCGCAGATCAGTCTCGACGGGCAACGCTTCCGCTGGCTGTAGGAGACCGTGTGTGGTTATCCACAAAACATCTTCAGGCCAACCGCCTGATAAAGAAGCTGGACCATCGGTTCATCGGCCCATTTCCCATCAAGGCGTTCATCAACCCCGTAGCCTATCGACTGACTACCGCACTCCATGCAAATTCATCCAGTCTTCCACCGTTCCCTTTTGGTCCCCGACACCCCTTCGTGTGATCTCCGAAGTCCCGCAGCTGATGACCCACCACCTGTGCCCAGTGAAGATGACGCCGTAGACGGCAATGTGATCAGCATTAGGGATTCCTGCTGGCTGAAAGGGCGGTTCCAATATTTGATCGAGAGGCAGGGGGATGGGCCAGAGGCCCTTTCTTGGGGGGATGTTTCCACGATCCATGCCCCAGAGCTTATACGGATGTTCTATGACCATTTCCCCTTGAGACCACATCCTGACTGTCAGACTTGGGGGAAGAGCCCTGCAGTGAGGGATAGTGTTGTGGCTCCAATTCCCAAGCCTATGCTGTTAGAGGAAGAGGACTCGGAAGATGAGGAGGAGGAACAGGGAATGCCTTCCTCCCCAGGACTTCCACTCTGGCAATGCCTTCCTCCCTGATAATGCCTCAGGTTTCATCAGACAACCGAGAGGAACAGCCTGAGATTAATCAGGAGGAACGCATATCAGAGCACCCCCTGACAGGGAGTCAAGAGGAAGAATGTTGGCTTGATCCTAGGCAGCGTCGTAGGGAGAAATGTCAGCAGCAACGTAGGAGGCGTGGGAGGGTCGGAGAGTGAGCTGAGTCATTGAGCCACACCCCACAGGGGATAAAAGTGAATGTGTTGTTGGCTGAAACTTTGTACGGGACAAAGTTTGATCTTACTTCAGGTTTTCTTTGTGAATGATTTTTGTGGTCTGCCTTGTAATTTTCTGTAAGTAGCTTTTTACTTGTTATCAGTTTGGACTTGGCAGGCAGAGCGTGTTGGAATGCCAAGGACGTTATCGGTTCCAAAGAATTAACTCCGAGCCAGCCTGCCTGCCTGTGTTTGTGTGAGTTTGTACTCTTTCATCTTTTGGAAAGAAGAAAGGTGAGACAGAACACCCACTGATCAATTCTTAATCCCTGATCTTGAAGATCTTGCCACGATTTCAGATTTCCTTGCGTATCCAATAGGTCCTTATATTTAATCATTTTAGTAATATACAAATTATTTGGGTGGATCATTGCCTCCATTGTTGAGATCCAGATTGGTATCTTTAAGTAGTGTTTTTTTCCGTATTTTCTTCCAATTAGTCAATAATGAATTTCTGATTACCGTATTTTCTGGACTATAGAGCGCATCGGAATATAAGCCGCACCCACTAAATTTTAAAAGAAAAAAAATATTTTTACATATATTAGCTGCACCAGACTATAAACCGCAGACAAATACGTTGTGAAATGAGATATTTATACAGAAAGATTTTGTAAATGTTTATTTACATACCTTAATTGTTTCCAAATGGTGCCTGTAACATGGCAGTAAAACGGCTGACCAAACAAAACAGAAAAGTCATTAAAGTTTTTATTCATCCTCCTCCTGTGTAGTGAAACCACTGAAGTTGTCTTCTTCAGTGTCAGAGTTGAAGAACCTCAGAACATCTCCATCACACACCTTTTCAGTCTCTCTGTCGGTGTCGCTCTCAATGTTACTTTCATCTCAAGGCAGTTACCGATGAAATTGTGCTGTTCTCTCCACGCAGCAATCCAACCTTTCGAAACCCCTTGGTGATCGTGGATTCTTGCATGCTGCTCCACGCTGTTAGGATCCACTAGCAGACCTCAGAAAAGAATGCTCTTCGCATGCGGCCAGTTTTTGTGAATGATTTCTTGCCACTGGTCATCCAAGCCTCCCGCTCACCTTGGAGTGCTGCTTTAAATGCACGATTCACACTGATGTCGAGTGGCTGCAAAAACTTAGTTGTACCTCCAGGAATCACAGCTGGAATAGTTTGTTCTCTTGATGGCTGCTTTCACAGAATCTGTTATATGGGCCCTCATACTGTCCAAAACAAGCAATGATTTTTTCCAGTGAAAAAATCCTCCCGGGCATTTACTGTAGCACTCTGTCAGCCATTCAGTCATTAGGCTTTCTATCATCCACCCTTTTTTGTTAACTTTAACGACTATGCCTTTCAGGAGTTTTTCTTTTGGCATAGTCATCCGCTTAAAAATCACCATCAGTGGAAGCTTCTGTCTGGATGCGGTGCAGTTCAAAACACACATGAAATGCGTTCTCTCGTGGCCAGTTGTTTTCACCATAATGGGTGACACTCCTGTCTTGTTAACAGTTCCAGTTAGAGGCAGGTCAAATGTTAAAAGTGCTTCATCCATATTTATGATGTCATCTGGTCTGATGGAATTCTCAGCTAGTTTTGTTTCAATAATTTTGTGGAAGTTTGCAACTTTTTCCTCATAGTCGAAAGGGAGTTGCTGACAGACAGTCATCTGCACCCTGATGGACAGATCTTTTCGTCTCATAAATCTACAACACCATGACGGTCCGCCTTTAAAATCTTCATTCCATTTCGCTGGCGATTGTTTTAGCTTTCAGTCAGATCTGCACGGTGGATAGACCTCGGCCATCTGCTTTCTGTGTGTTCACCCAGTCCTCAAGAACATTTTCAAGTTTAGGCCATCTGCTTTTATGACCTCTGAAAGCCTTTGTTGTCCTTTGGCATTGAATCAGTTCTTTACGCTGCCATCTCCAACGTCTCACCATTGATTCATTAACGCCAAGCTTACGTGCAGCAGCTCAATTTCCTTCCTGGATAGACAGATTGATTGCTTTCAACTTAAAAGCTGCATCATATGCTTTTCTTCGTGGACTTTCCATGATGAAGGTGTGAAAAATATTTTGCGTTCATGCGTGTCATGCTGCTTGTGTTGAGAGCGCCAAAAACTACCGGTAGCATCTTCTTCCTTGCATTGACCTGTGTCTGTCATGTTTTTGCGCCCCCTGATGGCAGTTAGCGAAGAAAAATCTATAGATAAGCCGCATTGTTGTACAAGCTGCAGTGTTCAAAGTGTGGGGGGGAAAGTAGCGGCTTATAGTCTGGAAAATATGGTAGGTGTCTGTGAAAATATTTCATGCCATCTCCTCTGTAAGTCATGGCCTTCTAAGAATAAGATTCTCTTATTAGTTAAATTTACCCATTCCTTCAACCATACTAAAGACGCTGCACTATAATACAACTCCCAATTTGGAAGTGCCAACCCTCCCCTGCTCTTCATATCCTGCATTGCCTTTAAGTTTATTTTAGGTTTTTTCCCTTGCCAGATGAATTTTGCAGTTATTTTATTAAGTTCTTCAAAAAACTTTTTGTGTACTTTGGAATCGTCTGAAATATATAGAAGAATTTTGGAAAAATATTCATTTTAATAGCAGCAATCCTGCCTAATAATGAAAGTTGCAGCTTGTCCCGTGTTTCTAAATCCTTCTTTACCTGTTGCATTATCATAATTATTTTCCTTAAGTGTCTTACAATGTGCTGTCAACCAATGTGCTGTCAATGTGCTGTCAACTAAATGTTTAACTTTATCATTTGTATTCCCATAACTTCTTCTAGTTCTAATTTCTGTTTTTCTGTTAAATTTTTGGTCATTAATTTCATTTTCTTCCTATTAATTTTTAATCCTGCTACTGCTCCAAATTGTTCTAATTCATTCATCAATTTTTGTCCTCTTTCTATTGGTTCTTCAATGAAAAAAATCATATCATCCGCAAATGCTTGCAACTTATATTCTTCTTTCTTAACCTTTAATCCTTTTATGTCTGGGTTCTGTCTAATTCGCGTTAATAATGCTTCTAGTGATAATATGAAGAGCAGGGGTGAGAGTGGGCAGCCCTGTCTGATTCCTTTTCTATTTTTATTGGGCAGGTATATTCCCCATTTACTATAATATTTGCCTGTTGTGTATCATAAATGATTGTTATAATATTTTCAAATTTGGTGCCTAATTTCATGTTATAAATTTTTTGGATTAAAAATTGCCAATTTAAATTATCGAAGGCCTTCTCTGCGTCTAAAAACATAAGTGCAATTTGTTTTTCAGGGTAGGTTTCATAAAATTCTAAAACATCTAATACTATTCTTAAATTATTCCTGATTTGTCTGGTCGGGAGAAATCCATTTTGGTCTTCATATATATGTTCATTTAACATTCTTTTTAGTCTACTTGCTATAACAGAAGTAAATATTTTGTAATCAGTATTTAGCAAAGAAATCGGCTTATAATTTTGTATATATCGGGGGTCTGAATCCTCCTTCGGGATCAGCGAAATCAATGCCCCCCTCCATGAATCCGGTATCCTGGCTGCCAATAAGACATCATTAAAAGCTTCTACCATAAGAGGTCCTATTTGTTCTATTGCCTTGTACATCTCTCCTGGGATTCCATCTGGTCCTGGGGATTTGTTGTTTTTCTGGTTCTCTATTGCTGATTTCAATTCGAACCAAGTAATGTCTTTGTTTAATAATTCTTCCATTTCTTCCCCAATTGCTTTATCCTTCATTTCATCTAAATAATTTCTTATCCTATCTTCTTCCTTTTTATATAACTCTTCAAAATACTTATGGGCAATTTCTTTTTTCTGTTCTATCCCTTGTTGTATATCCCCCTTTCCATCTATTAGCTGATAAATCAATCTTTTTTCTTTCCTTTTTTAAAGTCTATATGATAGCCATCTTGTTGGCATGCTCAAAATAAGCTTGTCTAGTTGTATTCAGACTAAAATCATTCTCTCTTGTTCAATTCAATTCAATTTATGTTTAGTTATTGTTATCTGATTTTGCAATTTTGAATCCTTTGGGGTACTCTGTAATTGAGTTTCTAATTCCTTAATTTTTTGTTGTAATTTGTTTTGCTGAGCGTATTTTTCTTTGTTCCTTATTACTGCCTTCATGGTATCCCAAATGTTTTGTTCGTAGTTGCTCCATTATCATTTTCCTTTAAAAAATAGTTTAATTCCTCCTTGAGTTTGTGAGTATAATCTTTTTCTCTGAGTATTTAATGTCCATCTTTTCTTGGGTTTTTCCCTACCCTTCCATATTATCTGAATTGGATTGTGATCTGCCCATACATTGGGTAGAATTTCAATCCCTTTTATCTCATTTGCTATTTCCCCATTCATCCATGCCATATCAATTCGTGTCCATATTTGATGAGGATTTGAATAAAATGTAAACTGTTTTTTCTCAGGATGTAATCTTCTCCATATATCAATCAAATTTAACTCCTTCATCATTTCCATGCATATTTTGGGAAGCTCTTTTTTTCCCCTTTGTTCCTTCCCCCAATACTGTGGTCTTTTTGATAATCAGCAATAGAATTAAAGTCCCCTATAATACAAATATTTCTTTTTTCCAATCCTACTATTTTTTTTCATAAAGATGCTTAAAAACACTTTTTGATCTCCGTTCGGGGCGTAGATTACCACTAAGAGAATTGGATGGCATTAATCCAGATCTGCAAAACCAGAGTTCTTCCCTCAGAATCCGACCATATTAAATCTGCTTTCATATCCTCTTTAACATATACTGCAATCTCTTTCTTTTTCCATGCGTCTGCTGGTGCATGGAAAAAGAGCTTCCCTAATAGCTTCCCTAATTTCAGGCATTCTAAGTATTTGTCATCTGATTTCTTTATATGAGTTTCTTGTAGACATACTATATCAGCATTTTGTTTGATTAATTTGGCTATTATCTTTTTCCTTTTTATCGAGTTTAAACCATTTATATTAATTGATAGTAGTTTCTTTTCTTCTTCCATTTAATTAGTTCTGTTTCGCTCTTTGTCTTGTAACGGCTCCATTCTCTCCTTGTGCCTGAAGATGTGTCCCACTTTCTTCTCTCTCCTGTTGTAATTGAGTATTTCCTTGATTTCCTAAAGTTCCATCTCTGTTGTTATGATAGCCTTGATCCTCCTGGGAGTTCGTTTCCAGTTCATCCTTACTGCTCTGGTCTTCTGGGCCTACCAACCGTTCATAAAATTCCTGGGCCTTTTCCATGGAGTCTATTTTGAATTTCCTTTCATCCCAAGAAACTAACACCCCCTCTGGGATTAGCCATTTAAATACGATTCTTTTCTGATTTAGGTAAGCTGCTAAGAATTTATAATCTCATCTTTGTTCTCTTAATCTTCTTGGTATTTGTTTGAGAACCAAGACTTCTTTGCCTTTATACGTGATTGATTCATCTTTTGACATCCTATATATGCTATCCCGGATGCTCCTTCTCGCAAATCGTATATGGACTTCTCTTGGGCATTTGTGGCATCTCGCATAATTAGTGCTAACCCTGTAAACTTCACCAAACTCCCTCAAGATGTCATCTTTAGCCTTTTCCAATAGTCCAGCCAATGTTCCTGCCATTAGTTGTTCCAAGTCTTCTTCTTTTGATTCCACTATATTTTGGAATCTCAAGTATGTAGCAGCCTTATCTATCTCTAGGTAGACCAGTGAGTCCTCCATTTCTTTACTCACATTCTTTAATTCTTCATCTACCCTTTCTAATTTCCTTTCAGTTAGTTCTGTCCTTTTCTTTACCTCTTTTATTATTGCTTCATTTTTCTCCAAGGCCTGCTATAATAATCCAACTTTGTCCTCTACTTTGGAGATATCCACTTTCATTTCTGCTTTTAATTTCCCCATCTTCTCTTTTAATTTATTTATATCTGCTCTCATCTCATTATGGTTTTTCATCGTTTCTTGCAGCTTCATCATCGATTCCTGTAAGGTAAGCAGGATTGATTGGATATTGGCATTCGAGATGTTAGCTTGTTTCTCCACTGGTAATATTTCTTTAATGGTTTCTTGTGCCATGGGCGAAGCTGTTGCTGACGTGGTTGTTAACGTCGGGATGACCTTTCTTCCAGTTTTCAGAGTTGTAGCTGTTGTGGAAGTCATTTCTTTTAAGATTTGTTTCTGTTGTTGTAATATATTAATTATATTATCCCAAATTAACATTCAGTAGTAGAATCTCTATATTAGGATTGACCGGTATCTATCTGCTGAATAGCTGTACTCCTTGCCAATTACTGGAGTATAAGTTCTTATAAATAAAAATATTATCACTGTATTATTTTAAATCCATATATAATTCTAAATCACATATATAATTTTGTAAGGCCTCAATGCTCAGCCTCTATACATAACTTCATGTAATAGAAAAAGTATATAAATATTATATCCAAGTCCAACTATATTTAAATATTATAAATATATGTATTATCTAACCTTATTTTAAATATTCTTAAACACAAACAGTATTACATTCATCCGCAAGTGGATTAATTATTTAGAGATCGCACAATGAATTGTAATATTAATATATAAAATCCCTTATAGTTATTAGTTAAATAATACTTAATGTTCTTACTATTTTCCTATATATCTAATCAAAGTATATCACTATTATTAATAAATCAATTAAATCAGTTAATTCAATTATTGAACAATCAATTACAACAATCAATTTTCCTTTCCCAGTATACATATTTATAAACATTATAAAGAGAGATTGAAAAAGGAGAAATAGTTCATCATAGCGCTGGAGGGTGGGGGAATAAAGAAAAATGAGCAGATGTATACAAGAAAAAAAAAGTAAAGAAGGGGAAAAAGGAGTTTTAAATTAAGTTTTTAGCTTTCTGTCTCTAAGTTTTAAGAGCTTACACTTCAAACACACCGGAAGTAGGGAGGTAAGAAATGCTGAGTAGTGACTGTAATTACACGTTATCTCTACACATTCGGAAGCTTCCACTTTTACTTTTCGTCTTAGCGTTCCTAAGTTTGATTGTCCTGATTTTCTTCAGATGGAACCACCTCCTCAGTTAAATCAGTATACTCCCTGAAGGGCAATTAAGTGGTTATCAGTTATATTGTTACAATAACTTCTGGATTTCTAAGTATCGCCTGTGGCGCCACACTGTCTCTATTCTGCCGGCTCCGATTCCATCTCTGATTTAATAAAGTCTTCCAGCATAAAAATCGAATGAAAATAGTCCGAATCCCCCACACCTTCCAGTCACTTTCCAGCCGCTAGATTCCCTTCTATTAATATCGGTGAGGTATATCTCCCGACCTCGTAAGCTTCCCTTTTTACTCGTTATTGTCCTCTATCTCTCTTCTGTCTGCCAAGCCCCTTCACTTTCACTTGCGTCGCATCCACTTTTTGGCCGCTTCCTTTTAGGGCTCCGTACAGACACTTGTAGCAGCCTTATGAAAGACTATAGCATTCCAATCATCCTCTCCGCCACTAATTTTCTCTGCCACACTCTTCACTAATGATCCCACAAACTGTCACTCACTCGCTTCTTTACATCAGTGGCAGTCCAGACTTTGGAGCCACCATTGATAGATAGCTGTTTCTTGCTTGTTGGGCTCTGGAGGGCTTCTCTTTGCTGCAGGAGGGTTGCCTTCCCCACACTGCAGCTCATGTCTCCCCCACACCGGCACGAATCTCTCCGGGACTCAAGCACCCTCAAAGGATCACACCAACCACAAAAAGAGATTAACCACAGATGGGCTTCTGTACCTCTGTTTGTCCTTGCCTTACCACCGGATGTTCCAAGCAAAGCCGGACAGCCATTTGTTTAAATGGTAGTTTCCTGCATGAGGAGGTGGTTAGACTTCCAAGGTTCTTTCCAACTATGCTATCTGTGTTCTGTGCCTTCTTCACAATACAATCAACTATGTTACAGATCAGTGGTCGCCAACTGGTGGGCTGCTACCCACTGGTGGGCTGCTACCCACTGGTGGGCTGTGAGAAAAGTTTGGTGGGCCGCAGAGAAATCTTAACCCCAGAGCACCCCCAACAAATCAATTAATCCAGGTTGTGAAGAAACACAAGGCTGTACCGCCCACATGGCCCGCCAGAACCCTCCCCACCCACTCACTCCTTACCCGGTAAACTTGCCTGCTAAATTGCTATTTTTCCTTTTTCCGACCATCATCTGTTCTGCTGTGCCAGGAGATTTAGATTAGCTAGGAAGCAGGAAATGATTGGATTTCTCACTTTCTAGCTAGTCTTTAGATTTTCGGCTCAGCACAGCCGACACTTCCTTAGGACTGAAGGTTTGCTTGCAAACAAATTCAGTGCAGACTCACAGCAAACAAATTTGAGAGACTGAGCTAGCCGATGGCAGATAAATAGATCACTGAATGATTCTGTGAGCAACTCAATCTGCCTGCTTTGCCTGATTTTGGGTAAAAGTTGCTCTTTTTTATAAAAAAATCAATATTTATATAAATATTTATAATATTTACATACAAGCTCTGCCCAGCCAGTCACATGACCACCAAGCCACAGCCACAAATTAGGCCATGCCCACAGAACCAGTTAGTGGTCCCTGGGATCTAAAAGTATGAGTTTGGTGGTCCCTAAGGTCCAAGAGGTTGGCAACCCCTGCTACAGATGTATTCATGGAAAGGGAAACAAAACATTATCAATGATTAGAATATCAACAGAATGCAACCTGAATGTAGAATCTAGTGCTTGATATATAGTGAACCTCTTATGACTTCATTTTCAAATCAACTATCAAAGAGTTCATGTATCTCACCTGTCCAGCCAGTATATGCAGAGCAATCATGAGGATCTGCTGTTTTTAATCCTTCTTCCATTTGCTGCAATAAGTCTTTAATTTTAGTTGTAATTTTCTTATTAAAATATGAGCTGATCTGCAAAAAAAAAAAGAAAAAGGCTAGAAATTTTTAAGACTTATGTGCACAGAAAAAGGTCTGATTCAGGTAACAAATTAAAGCTTCATGAATAAAACATGCAAATCTTAAGCAATAAATCATATTTACATAATAACATTTAGGCAATAAATCACATTACACATGTAATATGTAAGCATTGGAGCGGTTATAAAAAGTTTAGGGACTGAAATATTTTAACCCTCAAAAATTTCTGCTTTGGATGGAATGGGTTACCTGAATTGTTCCAATCTTACTGGAAATATTCCATTTTGAAATGCAGCATTTTGACTACAAAACAGAAACCACAACACTCCCCCTTCAAGAACACTACATTCCAGCATGTCCCAAAAATTTGGAACACGTTTTGTTTGTTCATTTTGATCCTGAACTGTTTTACATCTTCCTAATTCACACAAAGGTTAGAGACAAATCAGTAAAACTACATTATGGTTTAACATTATGTATGAGCTCAGCCAGCATGCTTGTTTAACACTCAAAGGAATATGAGAGACCCAGCAACTTTGATAATGACTTTAATTACTTTGGCCAAGGAAAACTTTCAACAACTTCTCTGTCTCTGCTTCAAATAGAAAAATAAATGGCACCCATACATAGTTTCTTGCTATATGATTGCGTGCTTTCAGTAGGATTTCATTTCAATTTCCTTTGTTTTTCAACTTCTCTTTGAAATAATAATTTTGTAATTTAGCCTTAACAATGGATTGCATCTGACCATTTGTTCATAACTAGATGGGGAGGAAGAAGACAAGAAGTAACTACAGGTATTTATGTTGCTAAGCGAGACATTTGCTAAGTGAGTTTTGCCCCATTTTACAATCTTTCTTGCCACAGTTGTTAAGTGAATCATTGCAGTTATTAAGTTAGTAACATAGCTGTTAAGTAAATCTGGTTTCCCATTGATTTTGCTTGTCAGAAGATTGGGCTCGCATGCCTTCTTGTGGTATGGGAAAATTAAAATACATGGTTACTTTCAAAGGCATTGTATTAGGAATGCATTTTTGCTAGTATGGGAGAAAGTGAGAGAACAACACTATTTGAGGATACCAGTTTGGCTTTCAATAATGGAAGCACTGATTCACCCAAATGTGATTAACATAGAAAATATTGTCAGATATAAAGATATTTTGAATGAGAAGAGGGAACTCAAAAATAAACAAGAATTGAGCGATCAAGGAATTGATATGACACAGTATTTGCAAGTGCAGATACATTCTAGATACCAGAAAGATGCAAAACTATATGATTTTTATAAAGAATTAACAGAGAAATTGCTAAAAAATGTACATCTACCTATTATACATTAAATTGGAAGATGAAAAGTAAAAGAAACAATTATAGTATGGGCCAAAAACTTTGGTTATACAATTGAATTAGATGAATGGCAAAAATTGTGGGACAGGAACTATAAATTAACAATGTCAACTGCACACAAAGAAAATTTTTATGTTTTATTTTGCACCAGTGCAGTTGGCAAAAATGTTTAAAGATAAGTTGGCTAAATGGTGGAAGTGCCATCAGATACCTGAATCATATTATCATATGTGGTGGACTTGCCCCAAAGCAAAAAAATACTGGACAAAAATACATATGTGGTTGGAAAAAATAATAAAGCAACATATTGATTTAAAGCCAGAAATATTTCTATCGGGGATTCTACCTGAAAAATAGTAAGGAAAATGTATATTTAATTATTCATACATTAACTGCTGCTAGAATTGTTTTTGCACAAAACTGGAAGAGTTAAGAGATATCTACAGATGAGAATGTGATTAGGAAAATATTAGAATGTGAAGAAATGAACACACCAACACTTGCAATTAAGAAAGAGCAAACTGAATATTATATGACATGGGATTTATTTTATCAATGGTTAAACAACAAAAATGGAAATTAGAAACAGGTAAACAAAATAAAGAAATGTTAAAAGAGATAAGCAAATGCTATGATTAGTATTTTGAACATTACTATTTTAATATTGTAGAATATGTGGAATATTACTTTTAATATTATAGAATTAATGTCAATGTAATTAATGATGTTGCAAACTTTTATTACTGTTTAACAAAGATACTTGTACCCAGACAACACACTGTTCAACTGAAGATGGAATTATTGTATTAGAAATAAAACATTAATTAAAAAAAGAAGATTGCAAAAGCTGATCACTTCACTACAGGACATATGCAACTGTTGTAAATATGAACCAGTTCTCAAGCATCCAAATTTTTATCATGTGACCAAGGGGATGCTGTAATGGTCATAAGTGTGAAAATTATCATAAATCACTTACTTCATTGCCATTATAACTTTGAACTTTCACTAAATGAATAGTTGTAAGTCAAGGACTACCTGTACTGTGATGATACCTTTTTGTGGCTAGTGAACCTGGTAATGGTGATTGTTCTTTCTTAGTTTGCAACAATATATGTTGGTAGTTTAAAGATATATGCTCTTCACAACTCAATAAAACAGGAATATCAGTAGGAATTGATGCATCCTAACAGTAGTGCCCAAGATAAGCTATACAAACATATTAAGATTTAGGTTTGTATTATAAAATATCAATCATTATTTGGGCTCTATAGTCAATGTAATATTTTTACAGTCCAGCAAATCATTCAACTTTACTGAATTGAATTTCAGCTACAGGAATCTGAAAATAATGGGCTGAAACTAGCCAATCCATCACACAATATTTTGAAGGGATGATTTATTCATCTAATAAAAAGAAAATAGTCATGTGGGTCCATTAGATTTCCAAGAAGATACGATTTTTTTACGAGAAGTCTAGTGTTTTGTGGAGAACTAGCCTACACTTGACAATATTACAATTATGGACCACTGGCGAATAGTTACTTTCTAAGCAATAGATTAGAAATTTTTGTTACTTTGAAAGAAACAATTTTCAAATCTATTTATATTCCTGCTTTTAGTTATTCTCTAGAAAGAAATCTCTTAATTAATAGTGTGTGATTCTGTAGATTGTCCTGGATTTCTTAGTGGTTTTTCATACCATTAGACATGATATCATTCTAAGTAAATATACTGAGGAGGAGTATGGACTCATTCATACATTGGCATAATCTTGGATGGAGATATATATATATATCTCTTTGGTTATTCGGGTTTTTTCCCGCGTAAGATTGGAAGTATCTAGGCAACATTTCGATGAAGTCTCATTCATCATCTTCAGGCTTGTGTCTTCAGCTCTGTGCTC